ACTGACAGTCTGACACACTGCTGAGCTGATAGTCTGACACACTTCTGGACTGACAGTCTGACACACTGCTGAGCTAACAGTGTGACAGTGTTGATCTGATAGTCCAGGGTTGTTGGCTTGTGCTGTGAGCGGGTGACTCTGATCTGTGGGGCTGGCTGGTGTCAATGTGGTTCAGAACAGTTACCTTCAGGAACAGCTGGCTGCAGGATTGTTTTCTCTGTTTAGCTCCAAGCTGAGGAGGGCTTCTTGGTGGAGGAAAGAAATGTCTTCTGATCTCGGGGTTGAAAAAGACATAGACACAGTAGATTCCACTTCTGTCTTGAGGTTCATGTTCCACTGGTTATTCATGAAGAGGTCTGCTGGCTTGACTTTGTCAGTGCCTTTAAGGATTTTAGCTACACTTCTCCTACATCGTACTTTACAGTGGGTATGGGCCTAATTTTGCCATTCTCAAACTTATTTGTTGTTTTTCTCTGCACATGTAGAATGTTTTTACATAGATCTGCCATATTACCCTGCAGCTCCCAGCTGGCAGCCCACAAGCCCAGCAGGTGTGAGCCTGGTCAGTACCTCGATGGGAGACTCCTGGGAAAGCTAGGGCTGCTGCTGGAAGAGGTGTTAGAGAGGCCAGTAGGGGGCGCTCACCTTGAGGTCTGTATGCGTCCTAATGCCCCATCATTATATAATTCTTATAATAATAATAATTTCTGCCAGATGAACTAACTGATTGGCAGTCCGAGGTCTGTGAGCTGGTAGTTGTTCCATGGCATTGTTCAGTGTGAAGCTGTACCTGTTTCTCTGTACGTCTGTTGCTGTGTCTCTCACTCTGTTTCCATCTATAACCATGTTATTAAAATAAAACTGCTCTTGTCTAATGGTTTGAAAACTGAGACTATGTCTCCCTCTTGTGGAATTAAATAAAAACTACAGTACTAATAGTTTCAACTGAAAAATGCATAAACCACATAATAAATTAATATAGTGCATATTTTGGTTCCTTTAGGCCAGTGTGGAAATTATTTTTGCTTTCTCATCTGTGTGTGCCGCTTCCTGCTCTTGCAAACAGGATTGGGCCTCGCAGACCTTCAAGACTATAGAACAGCAACACCCTGGATCGAGAATCAAAATAATAATAATAATAAAAATTACTTATGCTTATATAGCGCTTTTCTGGACACTCCACTTAAAGCGCTTTACAGGTAATGGGGATCCCCTCCACCACCACCAGTGTGCAGCCCCACATGGATGATGCGACGGCAGCCATAGTGCGCCAGAACGCTCACCACACATCACCTATCAGTGGGGAGGCAAGCATAATAATGAAGCCAATTCATACTGTAGATGGAGATTATTAGGAGGCCATGTTGGTTAAGGCCAATGGGAAATTTGGCCAGGACACCGGGGTTACACCCCTACTCTTCTCGAGAAACGCCCTGGGATTTTTAATGACCACAGAGAGTCAGGACCTCGATTTTACATCTCATCCAAAGGACGGCGCCTGTTTACAGTATAGTGTCCCCGTGACTGTGACTGAAGAAAGTTTAAAAGCAAGATGAGCCATTCAGCTCATCTGGCCATTAGGTAATTAGAAGTTAATTGATCTCAGTGTCCCATCCAGGCCAGGGTATTGACTTTCAACAGCATGGCTGGGTACTGTAGCTTGTTCCACACTCCCACCACCCTTTGTGTACAGTAGTGCCTCCTGTTCTTGGTTTTATATGCACTGTTCTGTAGTTTCCACTCGTGTCCCTTGGTTCATGTTTCACTGCCTGTTCTGAAAAAGTGTGCTGGGTGTCTCTGAGGATTCTGAATGCTTGTATCAGGTTCCCTCCTAGTCTTGTTTGTTCAAAACTAAAGAGACCCAGCACCTTCAGGCTGTCAGCCCTGATGTCCTAGAATGCATCTGTTTTTCTCTGGATGGATCCCAGGGCAGTAATATATTTTTTATATTTTAAATAATTATTAATAGTGTGCTATGTGATTTATTTATTTAAATTCCAGCTTAACTTTGGATTGTAACATATTAACATTCTATTTATATATGATATGTTTTTATAGTCTAATGGCAATGATCAGACTTAATGGACCTGATGTCCATCCCTTAGCAATCTCAGAGAGAGCTTCAGAGACAGTAATGGAGCTGTCAGGCTGCAGTCAGGCAAACTGCACAGAGCAGGGTAGTAACATCAGGAGGCAGAGCTGATGGTTTTCAGCATTATTGTGGGTGTGAAGTAGACCGTGCTACTGACACTGTATCTCCCTCTCTGAGCCGCAGGAATGAAATGCTCCTGATTGGTAAGAGTATACGTTGGGGGATGTAAACATTTACCTTAACAAATTTCATCCTTTCGTTTTCTACCAGCCTAATCAAATTCAGGGTCGTGGGGCAGCTGGACCCTGTCCTGGCAAACAGCAAGTGCAAGGCAGGACACTCCCTGGATGGGACACCAGTCCACAGGCACACACAGACACAGACTCTCACCAGTGCCAGTTTTCCCAGAAGCCAATTCTCCTACCGGTATGTCTTTGGACAGCTGGAGGCAACCAGAGCACCTGGAGGAAACCCACACAAACATGGAGAGAACATACAAACTCCACACACACAGCACCCCAGGTCTGGAATTGAGCTCAGGGCCCCAGCACTGCGAGACAACCATGTTGATCAGTGCACCACCGTGATGCTGCCTGTTAATGAGCTTCTGTGAGGGCTGATATTACCCTTTCACATGCAAAGTTACACTCAGAGTGGCAGAGGATTGCAACCATGGCTTCAGAACATGCTGTACCTGCACTGTGGCCTGTACACTTAATTCAAAACATATTTTACAATGAGCTTTGAGGTCTTAAAAAGTTGAATGGGATTTGTAAGTGATATGAACCCCGAGCTAATTAGTGTGTTCCAGAGTTGCCCTCGTTGAAGTGTGATGTGTGAAAAACTAACCTGCAGGAGGACAAACTGTGGGTGAGTCTGGTGGGAGTCACTCCCACAGTGAGAGTGTCCCATACAGTGATACGTCTACTGTGGGTGTGTCAAATATAGTGTCATTCCAGTGTGACCATGCCTGGTACAGGGCCACTCTCATTGTGGGCGTGTCCCATACAGTATTACTACCACCATGGGCGTATCCAGCAACAAACCACCCATTGTGGGCGTGTCATAAACGATACCACACCCCCATCCCGTGTGTCACTCCCACCTGTGTCTGCTCAGCATACAAACAGCACCTCCCAAGAGCTGATGAGGCAGAAACAAGCAATCAAATTGTTGATAAGTGAGAAGTTGCAGGAAACTACCTCTGAAATGTGACATATTTAGAACAAATACCGAAGGTAGAAAAATCAACCCCTCTTAACAAGCAGTCAGATCAATTAAGGACGGGAATTAGCACTGCTTAATTGCCAGAAGAAACAGGGGTCCTGCAGGCCAGTTCAGGAACCACTAATCTGGAGAACACAGCTCAGGCACATCACTTAACAACAGTGCAAGAAAAGGTTTATTTGCTACATATTTACACTTCCCCCACACCGCTGTTTGTTACATAATGCAAATTTATATATATAAGCAATAAAAATTACAAGGTACTCCTTGCAAATTTCAGCATACAGGAAATACTTCCATTTTCATTGCTCCTTTTTTACATAAGAAAAGAGCCCCCCAGCCCCTCCCCGCCCTCCCCAGGTCCTGCGCTCCTCAGCAGGTGGGCTCAGGCCCGTCCTCTCCTCGCTCCAGGGGCCGGGGGCCAGGGGGGGCCGGGGCTGGGGCCCGAGTCTGTGCGCGGCTGTGTGTCCGGGCGGGCCTCAATACTGCGGGGTCTGGCCTGCCCCCTGAGCCTGGCGGTGGGCCAAGTGCATGAGCCGCAGCAGCAGATCGCCGGCCGCACTGTCCACCAGGGCCCGGTTCTGGTCCGCAGGGGCGCGCCTCTTACTGCTGTCCTCCAGGCAGCTGGGGTCCAGCGAGCAGCTCTCTGTGGAGACACACAGGCCCGTCACAACACTGGGGGTCACTCAGACTGACTGTCACTCAACAGGAGCAGCCCCTCAGCCCCTCTCTCTTGTTCCCTTGCTCGTGTCTCCCAGGCTCTTCCTGAAGGATGCAGACTGCCATCTCAGTCTCCCTCAGCCTCACCCGCCACACTCGCACATTCTCACGGTGTGTCAGACGAACAAATTCACTCCTATGAACCCCATTGAGGCCGAGACTCTGACCAGGTGATCAACAAGTGGAGAATAGTCAGCGAGGGCTCAGGAGCTGCTGTGGCCCCCAGGAACACTGAGTGGCACACCCCTACATAGACCTTATTATGTCTTTGGACTCTGGGGGGAAACCAGAGCATTAGAAGGAAACACAGGGAGAACATGCAGACTCCACACAGACAGCACCCCAGGAACTGAACCCAGGGCCCCAGCGCTGCGAGGCAGCAATGCTGATCACTGCACCACTGTACCGCCCTAACAGTATACTCAATTCTAATCCATTCTAAGCCCTTCTGCGTGTTATCTTCTGAGTGTGATGTCACACAGTGTCTGACCTTCATCACAGCAGACCCCTGGAGCAGCACAGCGCCCCCCCTCAGCACCACAGGCTCTGCCCCCGGCCTCGCAGGGAGATGGCAGGTAATTCTCCTCCAGGCAG